TGATTCAACCCTGTGTACATGACATGGCAGATCTTAACTGTAAAGGTCTGAATAGGTGGAACCAAGGACTGAACATTTGCCATGGAAATAGCAATAGGGTAGTGAGAGACTAGAAACATTTTTATCTGTGGAGAGAGGGGCTGTAGAGTAAAAATAATTCATCACCAACAAGGCTGTACAAATGCTTTTGAACTCTGCCACAGCTGGAAAGTGAATCCAGATGTGGCAACAATACTACATTTTTAGTCTGATCTGATTCTTGTAGAAAAGAACAGAGGAGGAGTTAGGTACATTCTGGAATGGTACATGGAGCTGACCATTTTCCCAGCAAGTCATTACTTATTTCTCCACTATGAATTATGAGTCAACAACAAAGACAAAATCAAGGTTGAATGGTAGGAAACTGCATCTAGAATTCATTTATTGCCTCTTCTATCCAACAGTGTGTCATTTATAGTGAATTTCAGAGTTTAATTGGGGAAAACTTGCAAAAAGGGAATTTGGATTTCTTTTGAGCCTCCACTTGAGAACCAAACATAATTTCTCACTCTTTTTACCAGAAATTCTTGATAAAATCCAAAGTATCTGCAATGTTACTAATCCTCATCTGGCATCTCGGCTTCAGTCCTTTTCCCACCACCATAATGTAGCTTCCCTGTGTCTTTTCTATAAATACTTTCATGGTAATTATTTTGATGAATTTTTTCTGTTACCTAGACTTTATGAATTTAAGTGTAGTACTAGATTGGCATCCAGGTCTCATCAATTTACAGTTGAAATGGCTCAACATAATCATAAGTTTTATGCTAACAGTTTCTCATTTGTGGAACTCTCTTCTGGCTTTTTGCTTTCAAGTCAATTTTGATTTTCAAAAATTTAAATGCATTGTCAGTAATTATCTTAATTCTTGTTCTTTTATTGTTCTCTCTTCTTAATAGTAATTTTTCTCATATTCTCTAACACTTAGTAACCTCTTGCATCCTAGTGACTTCATTACCTTGCTTGAGATGAAATGATTTAAAAAAAAAAATGCTAACCTTCCATTTTGGCATTGCATTGTTACAAGTGATGAAAAATGGAAACAAAAATTGAAAAAGACAGTGGTTATCAAAAATGAGGTAACAAGTTCCAATACCAGGACTCCATACACAAAATTCCTTGCTTCTTGTTTGATGTAATATGAAAGGTGTCATCCATTATCAGGTACTGGAACATGGAAGGACCATCACTAGAAATTTTATGCCAGCAGTTTGATTGGGTAAATGAAATATTACATCAAAATTGTCCTGCTTTGGTAAATAGAAAAGGTGTTATTCACCAACGTGACAATATGGGGTTGCATTCTGCATTAAAAAAATCCAAGAAAAAATAAGATTGTTAGGCTTGTGGGTTCTTTCATGTCCTCTATACTTACCAGATTTAGAATCATCATTTGTTTCAATCACAAGAACATTTCATAAAGTGGAAGGACATGCAGAAAGAAGGGAGTTGAAAACAAATTTTATTCAATGAAAAACCCAGATTTCTTTAAACATGGAATTGAAAATTTGCCTTCTTGTTGGTCTACACTCATGGAAAATGAAGGTGATAAATAATGTTTAAATATACTTACATTTGTTTTTATATCTCTTCTGGTAAACAATAATTATATTCTGAACACCCTGATATTTATAAATATATACAAATTCAAAAACCTTCAATATGTTATTCACCAACATCTGTCTATATTTCTGTTGTCCCTATCTTTATTGGTATATTCATGATTCTTTGGCCATTGTACTCTCTGGTATTCTTCAGGTGATATATATGTTGGAATTTCGAACTGAAACCTTTATTTAGTTTGAGGGATGCCTTTTTTGGATATCTCGAGTTCAATTAATTCTCCTTGATAACTCGACATTCTAAATTTTTGTCCCCTCTGCTCTGACCAGGTATTGAGCTTGGAACTCTTTGGGTCAAGTCACTCTTTGGATTACTCAACCAATGCTTTTATCTCCTGGGCCACGGCATGTAGAATTACAACAATCCAACCCTGTGAACTAAAAGTGTTCAGTTCAAAATTCTGATGTATATCACCTGAAGAAGGCCGAAGTGTACAATGACTGAAACATTGTGAATATTACAATAGTCTGAATGATGTAAATAGTGTAAATGTTATCAACAAGTTCTATTATTTCAGTGATATATTAAAATTTGTGTATTTAGGCAGCAAGTTCTCTTTTAGGCATATCTGATTGAATAAATTAGACATTGTGTCTATTAATTTTTAACAAAATCTGTTCATACTCACAATTAACCTTCCATGTATTGATGTTAAAGGATGAGAGAAATGTGCTATAGCTGTTTAAATTTCTTTTATTTTTATTTCCCAAGTACTTTTGATCTTTTTCCAAGATCATCTTCAGGGGTGCATGTAATACAAAACTATATGTTGTTCATTAATATAAGTAAGTATTTATACATATATATATATATATATATATATATATATATATATAATGTATATAAATAAATTATTTTTGGTTATTTCAAATATTTATTTATATATAAGTTATTTACTATATATAGCTTAGTTTTGCCACATTTCTTATTATTGATTTAAGCAAAATCCTTCTTGCCATTTTGACTCTCAAAATTTTTCATATCCAAATGTAAACAAAACAATTTCTAAAGTAATGGATTTTTTAATTATTAGTCTGACAGATTTTATCACTTTCAACATTAATTTTAGTAAATATTCAGTAGATGCTTCATTTATTTATTAGACAGTGTATTTATTTATTTTTGTCTAACAGCCTGAAAATTTGAGAAATCTTATTAAAAAACAATATGTGCTTTCCAACAGGATTCAAACCTGTATCCCCCTTGGCAGAGGGAACTGTCATTAGATTCAATATGCTTTAACTGATTCAGCCACAAAGAACTTTTGCTGATCAAGCAAGGCTGAATATTTCCTTTATGTGAAACCTTTCTTGTCATAGACTCTTGAAATTTCATATCTGCTCAGTTTCTTATCCAAATGTAAACAAAGCAATTTATAAAGAAGTAATGAATTTTTTATTTATTAATCTGAGAGATTTTATCATTTTAAATGTTACTTATGGCAAGTATCACTTGAATGATGAACTTGTAATGTCAGGTATATTCACAAGCCATTTCTATTTTGGGACATGAATAAATAAAAGCAGATGGCATCGTGAAGATATCAGATCTAACAAGTAACAAATACTTTTTTGCAAGGATGACTCTTGCTTGTTAAGTGCCTTAAAATTGTACCACAAGTTGACCCAATCTTTGTAAGTGAATTTAGGTTGAAGAAACTGTTCAGAAGTCTCAATAGTTTTACTAGAAGATATTCACATATCCTCAACTAATGAGCACATAGCTCATCAGCCTTGGTTGGTAATCTACCTAGAAATAATGTCTTGATAAAAGCAACCCATCACCCAGCAGTCTGGCTAATTGTTGGGTGTGTTGGCCTGAAAAATAATACACTATGACTGAAATTCTTAATAGGAAATAAATCTTGTGAGTTTGAAAACCTGCTACAGGTGGAAATAGTGCAATGTTTTACTAAGACTTAGATTCTGTATCAGGAATTTGAAAGAATGTTATCGGTCCTGACCTAGGCATCATGACTTCAGTCACTTTCCCACAACCACTTCCTAAGATCAATGGTGAAAAAAAAGTTTTGAACAAGTAAAGCCTGTGGTCTTGGCAAAGATCATCCTTATTTGAACATTGTGGACTGGTGTTACAGAATCACAAACAAATAACTGTATCAAAAAAAAAAACACATTACTTGAGGACTACCAAGAAAAAACAACAATTAAAATGGATAGTACATATATATCAAAGAAGAAATAATGAAAGATGTTATAATCAAGACGTTAATATTCCACACCACTTCATAATAGAAGGTTAAGAAGGTTTGGTTTGGTTTATTTTATGGCATATCAACTTCAATGGGTTATTTAATGCCAACAAAATTTTTTATTGCTGGTAATATTCTGTTTTGTCAAAAATCTGTTTCTGGTAATATTTTTTCCTTTAAAATTGTATTGCTGGTGATAACTTTTTTCAAAAAGTATTGCTGGTAATAGTTAACTATTTGCCCATAGCTGGGACCCTAACAGGTGCTACCACCCCAGGTCAGGGTGGACTTGGGAACACCAGCAATTAAGAGGTGGTTCCATGCTCCTCAAAACCTCCTGATCAGAGGCCTTGCTGCTGGATGTAGTTTATCATCTTACCCAGGATGTGGATGTAGTTTAACATCTTACCCAGGATGGAGAAGGTTAAGAAGGAAATCCTCATCAATGTTACAAAGAGTGATAATAGCTACTGGACTTGAGAAACTAGTTTTCCTAAAAAAGCATTTTGAGAGCAGATTTTATAAATTTAAACCAAAAGCTGCTCAGTTAATGACTGCTGAATGTTGGCCTTATAAGGAAAAGGCTAATGTTACCATTACCATAATCTGGCTTCCCTGTATTGTTTCTATAAATATTTTTATGGCAATTGTTCTAATGAGCTTTCCTCTTTGGTTCCTCAACTGCATAAATTTAAGCTTGCAACTAGATTGGTAGTTAGGTCTCAGTTTCATAGTTGAAAAAGATGTAACCGTAAGTTATATTCTAATAGTTTGTTTTCTCACCTATGGAACTCTTTTCAGGCTTCTTGCTTCCCTGTCATCTATGATATTTGAAAAATTAAAAGTAATCTCAATTGCCATCTTCTGTTCTTTTATTCTCCTTCCTTCTTATTAATGTTTTCTCATTTTCTTTCACTCTTTGTAACCCTTTGTGTTTTAGTGGCACTATTGCCTTGCTTGGGGTGAAATGATCAACAAAAAAAAAAATTGCTGCATGAACTTTTTTTTTTTTTTTTTTTATATCAAAATAAATTTACAAATGCTTAATATTGCACATGGTCTTTCCTCCAAATTTCTTTTATTCTTGAATCTAATATTTAATATTTTTTCTTATTTTAATTTTTAGTTATTCTACTGAAGCATATTTTACCAACCCACAAACTGATGGAGCTGCTCAGTCTGCTTGGCTAATCAAGGATTTAAAAGAGGCAAACCTGAATCGAAAGAAGCGGCCATGGATTGTAGCCTATGGACACCGACCTATGTATTGTTCAAACACTGATTTTGACGACTGCACTAAGAATAATTCTGTTGTTCGTGAACAGTAAGGATAATTTAAAATCATTTTTCTTTACTGAAGTATTTTGCGGGGTTTGAATTTGGATTTTGTTTTTATTTGAATGCCTTTTTGAACATCTTGTGTGTGAAGTTATCTTAACTTCTATAATAGGATCAATCTTCTCAGAATGATTAGTTATCCAAGAAAGAAAGAAATATTTCTTTTAGTAGTCAAGGTCTTTGAGAATCAGGTTTAATTTTACCCCAGAAATAGTACAAGAAGTCTATGGAAAATTCCAGAGTATAGGCACTAATGATTGTTCCTATTAAATTTTTATATGGCTGGTGTGCTAACTCTATACTTTTACTATTTATCCCTGCTGAAAGGGGAGAAGGTTTCATGAAGGTATTTGTTTGAAGTGAACACAAACTGTCCTAAGTAGAGTTTGAACATTGATTTTCATTTTCCATGCCATTAACCATTAAGCCACCAGTACCTTTTCTATAAACTGAATGTAGAATTGAACATCATATATGAAATATTGTTCATGAGATCCATATTTGGCAAGTAAAGTCTTCCATAAAAAAAACATGAACATCTGTTGATATATGGTGGGTGTTTTAAGTCTGGCCCAAATTTGTCCTGATGAAGATATTATTTTAATAGAGGGATTCTTAAAACATGGGTTTAAGAATTGTATTTTTCCCTATTGAAAATGTGAAGCATTAAAGATTGTGTAAAAATCAATGCCTGCGAGACAGAATGGACCAGGGGAAAGTTGAAGGACTTAGTTGAATTTTGATAAAAACAGTAAAGATAAAGATACTGATCCTCTTAATTTATGGGATAATGAATAAATTTCATCACTTCAGACATATATTAAAACAATGCAGATATTTTACTTGTTTTTTGTCTGTTGACTTTTTTAAATTTACATTTGTTTTCTTTCTGATTTGTTTCTGTTCAAGAATGTTTCTGTTGTATTGAAATTGCATTCAATCGTCTTCAGTTGCATGATCAAGATGAGTCACGTCTTCAGAGTCTGCAGCTGTTCTCAGTATTTCTCCATTATGTTTTCTAAAGGAATAGAGATAAACCTCATCAAATGACGCTTTCTTAAGTTAATAGATTCAATGAGTTGTTCTCAGTGGACTCTATTTGCAACTTGCTACACTTTCTTTTATATATAACTGTTTCTTTGTGTTTATTTTTTCTTTTAATCATTTCACCCCAAGCAAGGTGATAATGTCACTAGAATATGGAGGTTACAGGGAATGAGAAGATTGAAAATGTGGAGGATTGAGGAAAGGACAAAAAAGGGTTCAAGAAAATAAGATGGTGATTGGGAAAATGTTATGTAATTTATTTATTTTTTTTTTTTTTAAAATCCTTAAAAAAAATCTTTTTAATGTACTATCTACAGACATTGATGTTGGTCTACATTAATATTTAAGTTTGTGTTTATCTTTGGTTTTCATGTGTCTGCATGTTAAGAATGCTCCTCTTGACTGAGAAAAAAACTGGTGTCATATAGCTCTCCCAGTCGCAGACCCACGCTGACTATTGGCTAATACATGCCCAGTATCGTTCATATGTAAATAGTCAGCACCACTTATTCCAAGTAGAAGGTCTTCTCTCAACAACCCATTGTGGAAGGGGACACAACTTCTGGTGCTTGCAGCACAACATGCAACCAACTTGGAGTCTTTTATCAGGTTGACCTGATTCTCTGTTACAAAGTTTTACTGTAATTCTTAGTTTTTATGAAATTTGTTGAAAATGTCTTAAAGTATTACTATCTAAATTTCTGGGATTTTCTGCTTGCTGCTATGAAATTTATCTCTGATTATTTAATGTTTTAATAGTATTATTGAAATTTTGAATTATAAGGTTAAAGCTTAATTATAAAATAAAGCTATGTATCATTTGGATATTTTTGCATTGGACTTCATATTGTGTATATCTAAAGTTATAAAAGTTTTGATGTTTGACAATATGATTAGTTAGGATCACTGCTGTCTGATTCCACTCTCCTAGTTTGGGTGACGTTGCCATGTTTTGGTGGAGTAGGGACAATAGAATGTATTAATATATCTTAATGGCAATTCTGTTAACATGAGTACCAACAAATAATGATAGACTTTTTTTATATGGAGACATCAAGTTGTGGATCATGTAAAGAAATTATACTTCATCATTACCCTTTATTAAATATAAATGAATATAATTATGAATGACAGGAGCAGTGGGGCCGTCCTGATGGTGTGTCACCTTGATGTGGTAGGATGGCTTGCATGCTTCAACAACCCCCAGAGCTATGTAGGTGTTAGCATTGGCCCTTACCAGGTCCAACCAAGCTCAACAGGGCTGTGGAGTAGGAGCTGGACAAAAGACACACCTTGGTCTTCCAGGTTGGGGATTGTGCAGTAGGCTAACAACCTACTCACTTAAAAACTAGCTTGTTACAGAAACCTTAAAGTGGAGCATACGGTGCATGCTGGTGAAATCCCCTGGGAAGCCAGTGCATAAGTGTCGACGCAGAGGTGAAGGCAGCTGGCACAACATGGGCCGAGCTGAAGAGGATTGCCCGGAACCATGTCCATTGGAGAGGTATTGTTGCAGCCATATGTTCTCCAAGGAATCAAGAGGCATAAAGGAGTAGTGGGGACAGATAACCTCCCAAGGAGAAGACCATAGTTATGGTTAACTAATCTGTTATTTGGACATTAAACAAAAAGCATTTTAATTTCTTGTATATTCACTGGTGTTCTTTGTAAGAATTGTTTTTCTCTATGAACTTTTGCTCCAAGGTTACAAAAACCAGTTCACAAGGTATTCAAAATGCTTGGATACATTCCAGAACAACTTTATATCTCATATTGGAAGGAGTAACAATATTTACTTAACAATATTTTATCAAATGGCTTTGTGCTATATAACTTATTTACTTTGATGTTCATTTTAATTCTTCTTTCATATTCTTAAAATTCTCTCTTTCCTTTTTTTTTTTTATTAGCCTGGAGAGCATATTCTATATTGGAGGAGTTGATATTATATTTGAAGCTCACGAGCATTCATATGAAAGACTTTACCCTGTTTATGACAACAAAGTGATGTCTTACAACTACACAAATCCACTGGCCCCTATCCACATCATAACTGGAGCAGCTGGCAACAAATACAACAGTGACCCTATGAATGGGCCCAAAGGTAGGTTTGAGCTTTGTAATAAGTTCCTTAACCCCATAAGTGAACCATTTTATAGGAGAATATTCAATGAAACTCTTTCTTATATTAATCAGGTAATAAATATTTTGCAAATAACATCTGTTTTATTAATCAGATAATAAACATCTTGGAAATAATATCTATTTTCTTAAGGAATAGATTTTATTAATCAGGCAAACATTTTACAAATAACATCTATTTTCCTCAGGAACAGATTTTATTAATCAGATAACTTTTGTAAATAATGTCTATTTTTTTAAGGTACACATTTCATTAATCAGATAAACATTTTGTAAATAACATCTATTTTCTTAAAGAACAGATTTTATTAATCTGTTATACAAAATCCCTAAAACTTGATTTAAGTGTGAAAAAATGTTTCAATCACTGTTTGGTTCATTCAGACTAAATTATTCATCTTTGTTTTTATTATTGAACTTTTCTTGAAAGTATTGTATGCTGAACTTCTTAGCTATAAGAAAAATCTTGACAATTCTAAAGGCAAATATCAGTGAATAATTATCAGAAATAACTTTAGGGTAGATCTTGTATATCTGATGGTAATAAATAAGGCCCAAGTTTAAACTTTATATATATATATATATATATTTACTTAATACAACTGGTATTTAGCCACAAACAACTTTGTTGCTTTTTTTGTTCGACATTCAGTAAAATGTAGAAGTTTAGCAAAAAAGAAAGTCAAAGAGGATTTGTATTTTTAACAATGAATTCTCTTTTCTCAGAATGTTGACAATGATTATATTCCTTTTCGTAACTGGCAGGCTTTATCAATTTGTAAATGGATATGCCAGTATTTAAGTCTATATAATATGCTTGTATTTTTATCTTTATTTATTTATTTATTTATTTTTTTGTATTAAAATATACTACCTTCACCTTGTTGTTGTTACATTTGTGTATGCATTTTATACACTTCTTTTATGATATGGAGGTAGAGATAAATTTATTCCTGAAATGCAGAGATTCATTGTGAAATGTCCACTAGTCTTAAAAGTTGATGCTGATATGACATTTACTGTAAATCTATATCAGTACAGGATTAACCTTATTACTATTAGGTTATGTAACAATTGATGTTGGCACTGGGGTTTTAATAACTGCTGTCCAGTTTGAAAAAGATTTGGGTTTGTCGTTAATTGACAAGAACTTAGACATTATTAATTTACAACCCTAAAGTTTGGAGAATTTGGCTATCACCTTTGAAGTTGTGCCATAGGGCATGTAGATAAGAGTCCTACAAAAGAACAGCCTAATCTTGGTGAGTGGTTGAATTTCATTGCAAAGATATTTTATCTTCATCTTGGTAGTTGTGACGAATATACTCAACAAATTGAGTGGTTGAAATTGCAAAGATATTTTTCTTTATCAATATTTTTTTTATTTCAAATTGAAAAAAAAATCAATATTTTTTTATGAAAAAAAAAAAAATCCTGGAAGAAACCACTTGAATTAAATGATCCCCACTCCCTCCCAAGCACTATTTCTTTCTTTTTCTTATGTTTGATTATATTTCAAAGCTTGAATTTCTTTTTCTTTACATTTCTTGTCTGCAATCAGCACATCTGCATGGCCTTCATATACTTTTTTTTTAATTCTATTTTTTATTTTTAGTTCATATTTTTCTTTTATTATTCATTTTTTTGTATATTTTTTCATTAAGATAAATTCAACATTTTTAAAAAAAAATTTTTTTTAAGATCTTAAGCTTCAGTCTGTAGTAACCATTATCACCATAAAACACTTCAAATTTCAAATGAGAATTTATGTTCATTTCCCACTTATGCCTTTAGAAAAGGCATGAATCCATTTCACCCTTCACTTTGTCCTGTTGCCATATATCTTTATAAAATGTCTTGCCAAAAATGGCTAAATGATTACAAGGACAAACTACTCTTGATATTATCTGCCAAAGTTGTAGCAGCATAAGAACTGTTACCCTCATTGCCACCCTTGTATTTTTGTATTGTTATCATCATCAATAATTTTCAAAATTTCACTTAAAGAAGAGATCTTAATCAGTTGCATTGTAAAATAAACAACTGTTTTGTTTATTATTTATGATTTATTGAATGCAGTAGGGTAATTGATAATTCTAAAGTTCAAACTTTCTTACACATCCATATTTAATTTGAAGCTTTAAATCTGCATAAAATTCATTACAACAGAAAAATAAAGAGTAACACTAATAAAAATTGGTTGGTTTATTTTTGTCTGAAGTCTTATTGAACAAATTAAAAGAAAACCAAATCACTGATAAAGGCATAACTATAGATAAGTATTTGAACATAAGAACATTGTCATCTAAAGAGTTGCCAACCTAGTTCCACTTATGCGTGGATGGTCAAAACTTTCAAAATCAGAACATTTATTAAAATAAAACTAATTTTCAAAACATATTTCAAAGAAGTAAAATAGAAACAACAAAACATAGACATAAGTTTTTAATAATAATAATAATAGCATTTTGAAAATAGAGGAAAAATTTCAAATTCAAAATGTTTATTGAATTAAAACTATTTTGCAAATTATATTTCAAAGAAATAAAATAGAAGCAAAAACAAAAAAAAAATGACAAAGACAAATCTTTAACTCTTTATCATTCAATCCATCCAAACGTGCCCTGTAAATATAGGCTGTCAATGTTTAACCAGCTTCATAATATATGTTAACACCATAGCAAATAACGTAGGAAGTCACGCAAACAGTGAGACATTGAGAGAGAATATTTACATGGCAGGTTTGAATGTGTTAAATGCTAAAGGGATAATAATAATAATAATGATCATAATAAATAATGACAAATTAATAATAATAATAGCAGTGGTATTAGTAGTAATAATAGTAGTAGTAATAATAATTATAAATAATAATAAGTTCTCTGGTTGGGACCTGAATGGACAGAAATCCAAAGAAGAAATAATAATAATAATAATAATAATAATAATAGTCATTTATATTATTTATAATCAGATTATCAAAATGTTTCAGCCATTCTACTTTCTGACATTCTTCAGGTGTCTGTTGATTCAGGTATTCTTCAGGGAATTTCAAACAGAATTTTATGTTTAAGCTATGGTGGTAGATGCTTCTTTTGATCTCCATGTCTAGGGATATCTCATTCAGTCCTCTTTTTAGTACTACTCAGTTACTGCTTGTCCTGTTTCCACTGAGTCTGTGTCTGTACAACCCAGCTCAGGGATTTAACTTTATAACCAAGTGGGTTGAAGCATTGGATTCTAAATTTGGTGGCATAGTAATTGCAAATTTAATTCCTCAATTCAACATTAGATATTGACATGTAAAACCAACCAAATTGAACCAAAACTTGTAATGTTGACTTCTTTGTCAGCATTTTATATCTACAAATATTTGACATAAAAGATGGTGATATACATCATGTACTAGAGATGTCTAAACCCATTTGAAAGCTTTGTAGTAACTTGTAACAACCTCTTCATTATATATATATATATATATATATATATATATATATATATATTATTATTTAGACTGCAAGAATTTATTTAAACAAGTTGTATTAACTTGCAAGGTCTGTCAGTTAAATTAATTTTTTTATATTGTATTTTTCCAATTTTCAAATAAGTTGTTGCACATCCAGATCAGAATTGTGGCTGAACTGTTAAAAATTTCTGTTTTTGCTCTATGCCGGGATGTAGCCAATAAACTTTTGTTTACAATACTGATATTTAGTTCCTGATAATGACTGAATTGATCAAAAGTATTCAAACAAAATCATGAATTGTGGAGTTTTTTCACAATTTTGTTTTGGATATGCAACAGTTTATTCATAAATTGGATAAATTCAAATAAAAAAAAAATGAAACCTTTAAATCATGCCAGTTGAATTTAATACAACCTATTTAAATACATATATGTGGGTTTGTGAAGTTGATTCTGGTTAAATAGAATATTATTTATAAAGGAAAAGCCATTTCATCAGACAAATTATGGTTGAACAGAATCAACTTTATAAATCAGGTTTATTCTTGCTTGTCCAAATCAGTTTAAAAGAAATGATATTTTTTAGTGGGACCTAAAAAAAAAAATGAAATGATTTTTTTTTTTTATAAGGACCAAAAACACATTTTTTCTATTTTCCATTAAGTTGTATTTAAATAGACTGCTAAGACTAAAAGTATAATTCTTATTTTTTTAAAAATGTTTAAAGTAATTAAAATTTTTATGATTTTTTTTCTTCCAGCTTTTTTTTTTTTTTTTTTTAAGATATTATTTACATTATACTAGGACACATTTTTTGTTGTCATCACAACATTTTGACTGTTGTGCCATCTGATCTTCATCAGGTGCTTGTCAATCCAGATACGCTTCAGGAAATTTTGACTTGAACCCATTATTTAATCTACAGATTGTTCTTGTTCTGCTGACCATGTCACAGCTTTTTGGTGTTCCCCCAGTTTTACTTTTAGGGAGAAGTTAGTTTCACCTTTGTATTCTTTGCCACAACTGCAAGGGATGGAATACATACAGGTCTTGGTGATTGACTCAGCAGAGATTTCTCTGTATGATTGAGCTGCTTCTAAATATTGCTCTGATGTTGTTGGGACACCAGATCTTTGAAATCTTTTTGGATAAACCCTTGGTAGACAGTCTGAGAGTTTTCCAGTCTTCTTTCTAAATCCTTCTGTTTCTACCTTGGGCAATATTAATGAGTAATTAGTTTGATTATCTAAAGGTAGTCAACCAGTGAGGACCCAAGCCTGATTGGCAAACCTGGGAAGTGCTTTGTAACCTTTGCTATCTTATGAACATTTGCTTTTTTTTTTTTCTACCGACATTTATATACATTGCAAATTAAACTAGGCATAACTGAGTAATCTCAGTTATGCCTAGTTTAATTTGCAATTTGAGATTTGGACAAAAAAAAAAAATTAAAACAGAATAACATTAAAATTCACAAAGATTTTTTATCCTTTATCCTCTGTGAATTTGTTTTGCTAATTCTAAGTCTTGAAAAAACACTATATAAAATTCACTATTTTTTACCCATATGTTAGATGTGTTAAATTATTCAACCTTTTCAAAAGAAAAATTTGAAGTTGATGTTAAAAACTGCTGCAAAATTTTTTTGATTTATTTAATATGGAATGATCTATTATGACATGTCTCTAATTTTTATTTAGATATCTTATTTTCAATTTTCTAGTTTAATTTTTCACCTATATTGCATATAATCCATTATTGTACATAATTAGGTTACAATAAAGTTTATATTTTATATGAATACTACTTTATGAAAATTGAGGGGGGGGTTGTATCATAGATTGGGTGTGCATGAGACCCTTGCACTTGGCCCTGATAGTAATAATAGTGTAAATAATGATAACTCCTCATTCCAGAAATTCAGACATAAATGGATCTTAGATTATGCATATATGAATCAACCAGGTTTGATATTTGATTTGGGGGCTGGGAATAATCTGATATATTTTTTTCTTTGTATTGCGTTTTTATTTTATTTTTTTGTAAATTTATGTAAAATATCAGAGATAATATTCTAGTTGTTTTACCTTACTCACACCACTTACATTTGAACCATTGTCCTCAACTTTGTTGTTGTTGTTATCACAATGTCTTGGCCACTGTACCCTCTGGCCTTTATCAGGCATATATTGATCTGGGTAACCTATAGAGAATTCTGAACTTAACCTTTTATTTAATCTCATTGAACTCATAAATACTATGCCACCAAATTTATGAAGCATTGCTTTAATTCACTTGGCTATTGTCCTATGAGATTAAAGTGTTGGTTTGTGAACTTGGTGACATAATAATTGTGAATTCAATCTCTGGGCCTGGCAATGTGTACTTGGATCCAGTGGAAATGGTGAGTAATAACTGAGCAGTACTAAAAATAAGAACTAGATGATATATGTTCAGACATGTCTATTGGAACAAGTATAGTTTATCACTGTAGATTAAATAGTAGAAAACATGCAATACCTAAGATTTAAAATGAATTTTTGAAAAAAAAAAAATCTTTCTTGAAGTTTTTATTTTAGCTTTAAATTTAAGCTAATAGATTAAATTTAATATTTCAAAAATTAATTTAAAGTGACTGGAAAGAATTTTTGTTTTTTGTGAAAATAACAGATTAGCCTGCTTTTTTTTAGTCATCTTTAATCATAATGTATTTCTCTTTATTAAAAAATCTTCCAAAAATAAAATATACTTTTCTTAAACTTTATTTGAGGAATATTAGCTTATTTAAAGTATAATTAATCTGATTTGAAACAAATATTATTTACTTTAAGTTTAAAATATTGCAGAAATGCATTTTTTTAACCAGACAGTAGCCATGTTTGTTTGTTTGACAATGTGATGACAGATCTAATGTTGTTCTATGGAGACTTTATTTGTAAAAGATAATTGAAGAAAATTACATGAGCAACTTTTTTTATTTAATTTTTAAATACTCAGTAATCTTAAAAATTTAGGAAAATATTCCTTGTAATCTAATATCTTATTGAATTTTAAAAATTTTGGTGTTACATTTCTTAGTCATCACTTTTATTTTCTCATAATGGTTGCTTGTACTTACAAAAAAATACAATAATAAAAAAAATTCAAAATTATTATTAAAATATTGGTGTTTGGTTTTTATTAAGCTTTTCTATTTATGATTAGTAAATATAGTTTTCACTTAATCATCAAAACTGCTGAAATTAATACAGAATTTTAAGATTTAAAACTTAATGAATTTTTTTAATCAGAATTTTAAAAAATGAATACAACTCTTGTAAAAATTAAAAAAAAAAAATGATTTAAATTCTCCAAGAAGTCTTGCTTTTAACTAATATAAATATGAAGATCCTCAAAATTTCATAAAATTAAATGGGGGTTAACAGATGTAAAAAAAAACAAAAAAACAAAAAAAACAAAATATCCCCAAAAGTTTATAAAATGATATTGGATTGTCTGGAAAGTTCATGACGATTTTTAGTTGTTCATAGTGCAACATGTTAAAACATCAAACTTATTGACAGATATAATATGCTTACATTTCCAGTTAGAACACACTTCAAACTATTTCTTGAGAAAGAAATTTTAAAATTACTTAATTTGTGTCAATTTTGCATCCCTATAATCTTCTGTTTTCATAGGGATGCAAAATTGACTCTTGATTTTTTTTTTTTTTTCGTAAAGGCAAAATGCCTTACAAGCAACAAAGATATATAGTGTGTATGGTGAAGGTGCTTTCGCTGACAGAACTGTACAGAAGTGGTTCACTAAGTTTAGAGTTGGTGATTGTAGCCTTATTGATGAAGAACACAACCCCCCCCCCCTGCACCAGTTCAGATGACAGCCAAATCAAGTCATTGAGAATAACTCGCATTACACAATGTGAGAATTGGCAGAATCACTAAATTTATCAAAATACTCTCTCCATGAGCACTTAGTGAAGCTTGGGTGCTCAAATCACTATGATATTTGAATAGCACATGATCTGAATAAAAAGAGTCTTTTGGATCACATTTATCTGTGATTTGCTGTATAAATGCAATGAAAATGCACCCCTTTTTGAAGAAAATTGTGACAGATGTCGAGAGATGGATTATTTACAATAATGTTCAGCAAAAATGATCCTAGGGTAAGCAACATTAGCCAACTTTAACAACCTCAAAAGCAAGCCTTCATCCTAAGAAAGTCATGCTGTACATCTGGTGGGACTGGAAAGGAATCATGTACTATGAGCTTCTGCCAAGTAACCAGTCAATTGATTCTGAAAAGTACTGCTTGCAACTGAATGAATTAAAGGCAGCAATTCAAGAAAAATGGCCAGAATTGGCAAACAGGAAAGGTATTTTCCATCAGGATAATGCCAGACCTCACGTTTATTTGGCGACCCAGCAAAAATTCTTGCAGCTTGGTGAGGATGTGTTACCCCAGCCAACATATACACCAGACATTGTAACTTTGGATTTTCATTTATTCAGGTCCTTGCAAAATAATGACATTGGTAAAAATTTTAATTCTTTAGATGACATAAAAAAACACCTTAATGAGTTCTTTGCTGAGAAACCACTGAAATTCTGTGAAGATGGAATCTTTAAACTGAAGGAAAAATGGAGAAAGGTTGTGCAACAACATGGTTCATATTTAGTTGAATAAATATTTAATGTCATAATTTTGTTTTGTGTTTTAATCTCCCTTAAAAATCAACATGAACTTTCCAGACAACTCAATACTTTGGTCTTTCCTCTTAATGATAAACATTTTGACGATAAAACTTTATTTTTATCAAGTTCGGGGCCTTTTTCATCAGGTATCTAAATAAAAGTTATAGTTTGGAATTCCCTGTAGGTTACACAAATTAATATATGCCTGATGAAGGCTGGAGGCCACTGCCTCCAAAATATTGTGATAACAACAATAAGTATAAGGTCCATATGTAAATGATGTGAGTAGTGATAACTCCTCATTGAAGAAATTCAGACTGAAAAAATGTCTTACCTTATTGACTTAAAGAGATTTTGTTGTTTCTCAAAGCTGTTTTTTTTTCTTCTTATTTTCATGAGAGCTGAGGTCAGGCAAATATTCAAAATGAAACTGCTATATTTTTTTCTTTTCTTTTTTTTTTCTTTTTTATTTTTGCAGTTAATCAAACCTCAACATCAAGCCCCTCTCTGAATACAACTGGCAAGTTTCGAGTGTTTTATTTTATGGTTAATTTTTTTTTTTGTAAATGACAATTCAAAGGGTAGCGGTATTATTTGTGCTTGGTTATAGATAAAACTATTTCTAAACTGTGGACACCTTTGACATAGAAAATGCATGACCTAAGTAATACCATATTATAAAAAAAAAATACCTGGTGTATCTTTCTTTCTAGCCAAGCTTATCAAGGAATTTCTTTTTCAGTGGCTTTTTTCTTGTTGCTTAAATCATTATTTATTTATTTTTCATTTTGGTATTTCAGTCCTCTGCATTTTTATTTGTAAAATAGAATGCCAAGAGATTTGGCAGGTGTCTTCCCATCCCATATTCATGACATGAAGAAATGCATCAAGTTCTGGCAGTATGATTTTTGAAATGTTGATCTTGCACGTTAGGTGTTTCCAATTGTTCTCGAATTTAGTCTTGTATCAAAGTTGGCCTGGAATTATGAATTTTAATAAACTATTATTGTTTACACTATTTACATACAAACTATAGTCCTCATTTTTGTCATTGTTATTATTGCAACATTTCTGCTATTGTGCCCTCTAGCCTCCATCAGGTAACCTAAAGGGAATTCCAAACTGAATTTGGTGACATAATAATTGTGAGTTCAATCCCTGAGCCTGGTAGTGTGTCCTTGGACCCTGTAGAAACAAGGTGAGCAATAACTGAACAGCACTAAAAATAAGAACTTGGCAAGATATCTTTAGACATGGGCAGTGGAATGAGAACTGTCTACCTCAAAGATGAAGACAAATATCTGCATATAAATAGTGTAAATAATAACTCCACATCCCCAAAATACAGACAAATATTATTAAATGCCTTGCTTTTTAATTTAATTATGTGATTTCTAAATATGTATCTATATTTCAAAAGAATTAATGTTTTCTTAACATTCTCATTCCTATCATAGTTATATAGTGCATAGAACTGAATAAGTCATCTGATCAGTGTCTCTAGGCAGAAACTGAGTTGAGTGTGTTGGCAAATATGATATATGAATTTTTCTATGCCCCAACAATGTTAGAAAAATTAATGACAAAGTGAAAAAAATATTTTGTGTGACATGTTTCATCCTTTTAGAACTTCACTGAACTAAAGAGATGTTTATGTTAATGTAATTAGACCAACACACAAAGGAGAAGGGATATTAAAATTTTAAATTTATTTTTATATGTTTGGATATAAGTCTAGACAATTTCATTTAGTTTCTTTTTGTTTTTATCATATTTGTTATTTAGTATCCTGCATTGTGATTATAGATCTGCCAAGAAAGGTGAAATGTTTTAAGAACTTGGAAGCAAATGGATGATCTAGTAATTAAAGCACTTTTTATACACTTTCATCTTAGTAAAATATTTTGTATTTTAATTAAAGTTGCATTTTTTAAATTGAAATTATGATCAGACTAACTATGATGAGCAACAAATGCATTGAGTGTGTTGTTTTGTAAAAGATCCTTACACTTTTACTGAATGTCTTTGCATTAATGTAACTTATTACAGTTTTAATGGCTAAATCATATTATTTTTTTAAATGCCATGTTCCTTTAGGACATAGGCTCTCCACAGATTCTTGTTCTCTCTCATGTGGGAATGGCAATGATTTCTTGGGAAAGTTGTTTCCCATTGCCTTCAAAATGGTTTTCAATTTAATTCTTTTCCTAGATTGGCTACCATCCAAAGCTAAAGAACTCTGTCTATCCTGCTATTTAGCTCACAGCTGGCATAAGAGATGGGTTCATGCTTTTCTTGAAGGCATTAATGCAAACATGAATGCAACAGACTCTGCTGGAATTTGAACTCTGATGATTGATTTCAATTTCTGTGACAGTAACCATTACACTAGCCACACTTATGAACTGCATTATGTATATTATTCCAAATGTTATTTGCACCCCCTCCCCTCATATGAATGTCTCACTTTGTTCATGCATTGTGCATTAACAAAAAATAAGATTTCCACTTTGGAGCTAAAAAGTTAAGATAAAAAAGGGTAATAAGCTGATAGCCTTGGTAAGTTGCAATAAAAATCAACCCAAAATTAAGATGAGGGCAAATACTAGTGAAAAATTACTAATAATAGTTGATAATGTGTCATCTAAAAAAAATTACTAGTATAAGAACAACAATAAATATGGCACCAAGAGATGAAGAAAGTAAAATGTTTAAATGGTTAGATTTGATCTGATGTTCCCTGTAGCTCAGATGATACGAGCAGCTGGTGCCATTAATCAGACTTCCTCCAAACAGAGAGAGCATGAGTTTAAGTTTCACCAGGGACCTATCTTTTATTATTTTCCATCTGTGATATTTGTTTGCTGCCATGGATTCAGATACGGTAAAATCATGATGAAATACTGGTGTTTGTTTGATCACTGAAATTAAGCACTGTTGAGCCTTGTCAGTACTTAGTTGGGTAACCACTTAGGAACACTGGGTACTGTAAGTGAAAACTGGGATAGATAACCAGTTGGAGCATGGGGCTAGAAACTTCATCCTGTAAAAACCTTACTTGCTATGGAAACCACAGCAACAACGCCTGGTGCTGTTGAGACCTGTGGAATCTCTGGGACTAAAATTGGAGAATTCAAAGCCTGATTAAGTTGCAGTGAAAAGGAATTAGAAATTTTATAGAATTGTTTGGATGAGTGTATTCTTTGGCCAAAGAGTCAGCTGCTATTTCCATTGTGCTACTAGTTACTGTGGGGGATGTTGTATACAGTTTTTGGATAGATTTCTCTCAAGGATATCTGACATTAGTGAGGAGATTGTATAGAGTAATAACAGAAAAATCTTAAGACATATTCTAAGGAATGCTAAAAAACAGATTGGATAAAAACAAGTACAAGAATCCTATTTGGAACATATTTTGAGAAAAGATTAAAGTTAAAAACAAAACCAAAATACCAGCAAAAACAAATAAAAGAAAAATTTGTTGACTATTAATAACTTTATTTCAACTGTAAAAACTGTTATTTAACTGTTATGTACAGAAGTTTGTAATCTGTGGGTATAGTGGTATAAAAGTGGTAAAAAATGTGGCTTTATTATTGGATTACTTTGGCACAAGGCTGCAATTACAGAGCACTCACAATCAAATTCAATTCAGTTATGATCTATGAGATCAACTTGCTAATTACTACTATTTTATAATGATTTTTTTTTTATTATTTTTTTTTGTCTAACATTATTTTCCTTTTTGATATATTTGAAAGTTAGACATGATTTTTGCTGCAGGTCTACAAAAGAGCATGTTGTTTTGTCTTTGTAGTTCATTTTTGGGTTATCCAACAATCATTTATTGATCTGAATTAGCTATAAATATATTCCATGGTAAAAGATGTTTTTTTTTTACTCTGAAAGTGGCAGAGAAAATATATTTGATTTTCTTCTTTCATGTAATACTATTTTTCTCTTTCTTGCGGTATTACCTGGCATAAAGGTTGTATATACACTAGTTTTAATTGTACAATATAATTAATTCTTCATAAGAATTGGAGTATATCTTGTTTAATTGCTGTGATCATTAGTTTCTGACTTGACTGGCTGTCTGGTCTGCTTCAGTGGTCTAGATTCTTCTAAAATCTATTTCTTCTTTCTGTCATAAGTTCTGCATGGAAAGACATAACAAATTTGTGATAAATTGTATTATTTTGATATTTTTACTTTTTTTACAGCTAATCAAACTTCAACACCCAAGACTTCTGTGAATATTTCTGGCAAGTTTATTATGGTTTTGCTGTTTCTGTTTTGCCTATATTGTAGAAACGGTGCTTCTCATACTAGCAAAGAAACTGAAATTTTTATTTTTTTATAGAAGAATTTTTTTTCTTTCATATTAATTCTTTGGGATAATAGAATATCACAATTTTGTTTTCTATAATTCTAGATAACTTTTCAAAGAAAATTGATATCCAAAAGCCTCACAGGCTAAAGTTGATAATTAAAATTACAAATCATATTTTCTATCAGCCATTACTATTTTATGTTAAATTTTATTTTATGTCTGAGCTTATGGTCATGTCACATTGAAACATCTGTACTAATGTGATCATTGAAGTTAAGCAACATCAAACCTGGTCAGTACCAAGATGGGTGACTACTTGGGAATACCAGGTGCTGTAAGCTTGGATGAGCAGGTAATGTAAGAGATAACGACTTGGAATTGTTAATCGGAATGCTGAGTTCCAATTCCAGTAAGGTTCATTATATTCACTTACACTCAAAATACCCTTGGAAAAAGTATGACTCCACCTCTTCTTCCTTCAGGTATGGGTTAATTTGTAAGACTTGTATCATAAATCATTATTATCTCAAAAAATGTTTTTTACAATCTGAAAATATTTTCTGGCTTTAAATAATCCATAGAAAACTCAATCATTTTATGTCTGAGTTTTTCATTAACCTTATTAACATATTTATTCAGGTGTGACTCTATCCAAATATTTTTATAAGTAAACACATGAATAGATTTTATTTTTGCAGATAATGATCCCCTAGTTTACAATCATACTAACACCTGAACACGATAGATATGCAAGAGAAAATTAGTGAACTAATTACTATTAGTGAATTAATGTACTAATGGGATACTTAGAAAGGGAGAGGAAATATCTTAATTTTCTCTACTTACCAATGCCCACTATAGTCATTAGTATATCTGTGATATACAAACACCTTAATAAGATGGAAGAAAGAACAAGAATAACCTAATTAAATGAAAATGACAGTAGAGGGTTACTGAATGAGGTTGTTGTAAAGGTAGAAATGGAGGAAATAACAAGTGCATGTTATGAGGACATGTAAAAGAACAATTAATCATAGACTTGAAGAGATTGTAGTAACATCCTTTTAGGAGATTGTTTCATGAAGTAACAGTTCAGTTTTGTGGGGTGCAGTTAAGCAAGAAACCAACAAAACTCCTTGTAAAATCAAAGATGAACTGAAGGCAAGGATCATGACAGCATTCACCAACTTTCACAAGGCCATTCTAGGAATTGTCAGATCTCGTATTTTTTAGTTTAAAGAATTTTTTGTGACTTTTGGTGTCTGTTTAATTTGGAAAGATTTTTCTTTTCAAAAGTGTTTTTTTTTTTTTTTTTTAAAGGACTTGTTTAAGTTTTAAAGCAAAAAAATGTTTTATGATTCAAATGCTAAAAATGTTTGATATAAGCTGAAAAGCACCATTTCTTCAACATTTTAAAATACTTTTCCATTTTTCATTCTTTTTTTTTTTTCTTTACCTTCCAAAACTCAACCTTTTTGCTACTCTCTCAGGACATTTAGGAGATACAGGAAATCTTTACTGAATTCTAGCCAAGTCTAGAGAAAAATCTTGTTTTATAGGTCAGTAGTCTGTTAATTTAATGGAACAATGGCTGGTTCTGTCTGTTCTTTATCATCTTACAAGTTTGTTTTATCACAAGTCATATGTATAGAATGAATGTATTTTGCATGACTTTTCTTTGGACATTTTGTTTGCTACTGTTTATTTTTTCTCTGCTTTTCCTGATAATGTCATCAAATATCTAATGGCTGGTGAAGGAAAATTGCTTTATTATTTCCTTTGTTTCTTTCTCTTTTCACTTCATCTGCAACAAGAATTATTTGCTCTTATCTGTAAATATCCAACCAGATAAGGATTTATTTGCCTCTATTGCCTTTCATATTGTTCCTTGTATCAATGACAGTGTTCTTTAAAAGAAAATTTCTGTCATCAAATCTCTGTGGACTTTTGCAAGAGCAATTAAGAATTGCTTGATTTCTTATTCCTACTACCAAAACTCAAGAATTTTCTTCAGACTATTTTAATTTTTTTAAATTGTAATTTATTATTATGGATCCTTATGTTTTTTTCTTTTTTCTAAACACAATTCTACATCCAATGTAAATAGTTTTGTATATTTTCTCAGATTTCTTCAGAACAAAATTATAGAATTTATAAATAAATCTTTTTTTCATTTTTTTTTGTTTATTTAAAAAAAATCACTAAAAATATTGATCTCCTATGCAAACCTTAATTTCATCATACAACTTCGTTTCCAGCTTTCTCATCTGTTTTCACTGGAAATAGTAATTCTCAGAGTGTCTGGTCATATTCCACCCCTTGTGATCTCAGCTTTCTTCAATTCTTATCCCATTGTGAATTGTTATCTAATCATAAGAGAAACCCTTATTTCAATAGATAAAATTTTCATTTTTAATGTCCAATTCCTTCCCTGGCTAAGATCCCTTCTGGGAACCAAGGCCTACTAATTGAAATCACTGTTCTATAATGATTTATATTTGAATACTAATTTTTTTTTTTTTTTGGGGTCAGTGGGAGAAAATTGTTTGGTGATATTTATTTATTTAAAAAAAAAAAAATATATATATATATATATATATATATATATATATATATATATATATATATATATATATATATATATATATATATATATATATATATAGATTTGTAAGTACAAAGATTAAATGTCAAGTCCAGAGAAACTTTTTGCATTTTGATTTTTTTTTCCACACAGAAACAATATTCATACATTTCTTTTTATCTTTTGCTATTCTTCTTTTTCTTTCTTTCCCACCCTGCTTTGCCCAAATTTCATTTTTACCTGCTATTGTTTTCTTTTGCTGCAACAGCCTAGGTGTAAAATAATTCTGACAATTTTGCATGGAGCTTTTCTTTCCCTCCAAATCCAACCAAATGGAAACCTTTTAATTCTGAAAAAAATTGTTGGAACTGGATTTTATTTTGTTTTTTTTATATATATTTTCATTCTTCTTTTTTTTTTTTTTTTTTATTATCTAGCCAAATGGACTGCATTCCGTCAGAGTGAGGGCTCACTGAACAGCTATGGTAAATTTACTGTGTACAACGAGAGTCACCTTTTCTGGGAGCAAATACAAAATGGAGACATCCTTGATAGCATCTGGGTTGTGAAAGAACAACATACGACAAACAATGTTAGCAAGGAGTTCAAACAGAAAATTATCGATAAAGTGATGGAACAATTTCCAGAGATGACGACAAATAGTGACCTGTCAAATTTTGGTCCTTCTGAGGATGATTTGGCTGATGATGCTTACCTGCATTTGATTGTGATTGCGTTGTCTATTGGTGGGGCTTTGGCGCTTATCTTTATTATGGCCTACATTGTCATAAGAAATCATCGTAAGAAAGGTGTGACTGTCAAGCATTGGAATGATAATGTATATGTGAAGAAAAGTTTCTATCGTAACATTAAGAATTTAGAGAACGAATTAATGTGTGATGATTTAGATGTTTCAGATGGAACATTACCAACTTCCAAACTGCTGTCTGAACATTCAGAAATTTAATTAGTTATTCTATATAAAATGCCATATTGCGGTAGATATAATAATTTTTGATTTTTAAATATCAGAGTTATTTTTTGAAAAAAATTTTTTTCAAAACATCTATAATAATTCTGACTAAAATTAAGTTGAAACATTTTAAAAAAATACTTAGTTGTTATTTTCTGGTATCAATTCTTAAATTTATTGTTTATTTCTTAAGGGATTCAGTGAATTACAATTCCTAAAATATTTAAACTTAGTTTTTCTTTTAGTTTAATTAAATGATTACTTGAACTCTATTTATATGATAAAATATTAATATTAATTATAATGTTAATATTAATTATAAATGATTGTTTTGCAATATGGCTATGTTCAAAAGAGTAACAATTGATAGTAACTTCCATTAGAGACAATTATTTACAAATGGCCTTAAAAGAACTCTGTATGCGTGTGTTTGCATGTCTGTATGGATAATGATGTCGGTATATATGTAAGAATGAATGTTTACATGGCTATGAAACAGCCGAAGATTTGATAAAAGAATATTTGGTTTGGTATTAAGAATTTTGGGATTCATTTATTATTTTTATTTTTTTCAGATTATTTTTCCTTCAAGTTTTCTTTATTAAAATTGAAAATATTTATTTGTAATGTTTTGTTTGGTCCAATCTCCTATCTTCACCAGGTGACACAGAGGGAGTATTTTTGTTTAGTTGGTCAGATTGATAAATGAATTTCAAAAAAAAAAAATTTTTTTTTGTTTTGTTTTTCAGATAAAAAAATGACTTCCAAAAGATAAACTTTGCTAAAAGATTACTATTTTTTTCTTTTTTTAACAAATAAAATAATTTTATAATGTGAATAGTTGACTAAAAGATTTTCTGTTTCCACTTGGAAAATTTATCATCTTTTATAACCTATATATTTATTATGCTTACAAACTTAAGTTCAGTGGATGCCACTGAAGTATAGGACCACAGCCTCACTACTCTGGGTGTTGCTGCTGTGGTTCCCATAGCAAGAAGGCTTTTACAGGATGGAATTTTCAGCCCCATGTCTAACTAGTTTTGAATTCAAAATTGTCCTTTCCCTAGACAGGTTGTCAATTAAGGCTGAAGAACCCAGTTTACACTTCTGTTTTACTCATAGCTGGAAGAGGGTGGGGAGAAAGAATGGATTCAAACCTTTCCCAAGGATATTTATGCAAAAGTGAATGTGACTAACTTGACTGGAATTTGAATTTTGCTTGTTGATTTCTTGTTCAAAGGCATTAACCATTACATCACCTGCACATCCACACATTATATTTGGTGGACCAAAAAGTTTGTTTGCGTATTAAGTAGAAAATTTATTTAATAAACTGAACACAAACTTTTTGACCAACCCAATATTTTCAAATTTGTTTACAATATCCAAATTCTCATGCTTTTAAGATAAATGGTAAACATCAGGAACCAACCAGAGCCCATTTCTGAATGGATTTTGTCCATTGTTAAACATTTTTCAGTCCATAAACATTTTTTGCTGAAATTGATGTACATTGTATTTAGATATAAATTCAAGCTTCTGTTCAAATACTGTATCCTTGTCAAAAGTTATTATTAAGGAGAACTTTTTAAATCAAAGATTTCTAAAATGGGATAAAACCTGTTTATTATACAATTTAAATGACATTGAGTCTTGCATAGTGGATAAATAACCTGTTTGATCCAATTTGGCTTTACTGCCTTACATTGGGTGAATTTGATTAAAAGAAAACAAAAACTATTAGATGAAATCTTTTCATAATTTTGTAATCTATCACTCAAACAGTAACCTCCATCTTTATTTTTTTTATAATAGTTTTTTATTGACCAATCAGAGGACTTGTTACATGCTCATTACAGCAATGCTGTTAAAGAGATCTTTGCATTGGCCACTTCCTTTAATTTCTTATGAGAGCATTGTTACACATTCTTTTACCTTCCTCAGACTTCTGCTGCAACTAGAATTTCCTAGACTCTGTCTTCACCTGGAACAACAATGAAAATTCTATATGATAAAAAAAATTACAAATCAAGATATATATATGGCCTGATGATTGCGTTTAGCATGAAACAGACTGTTACCTCTAAGTGTTGACTTCAATGTTCACTTTTATATTTACACATGCTCTTTCTCTGATATTGAGCACTTTATCCCATAAATATAGCACACCTTAAGATTATATATATATATATATATATATATATATATATATATATATATATAAAGTGTAGTTAGAAATGTTATAATAATAAAAATAATAACAACAATGATGATATGTCTGAACAGTTTATCTCCACAATTTTTTCATAACTTCAGTGGATGAATTGCATATTTGCGAGCGGGCATATAGGAGCTGTACCTCAGAGGTCAATGGCTTTACCAATGAGCAGAGGCACTTCTGAGAGGAGGGATTGGAGTAACCTCAACATCCCCAGTGCAAAAAGGAACTGGCAAGCTATTACAATATTTTTCTTTGAATGTCACCATGAGTCACAATTATGGGGAGTGGTGACCAGCTGCACAAAATTCACTAACTGAATAAATGATGATGATAGGATGAAAGTGGTTGTGACATATGAGGGCAGGATAATGTTTACTGGCAGGGAAAATGGAAATGCAAATTTTAAATTTTCACTGAAGTTGTTTATGTTCATTTTTTTTACTAATACTCTTGGGAAAGTCATAAATCCATTTCTCCCCATGCTCTTCACCATCACCACATTTCTTGAAATTTCTTGCTGTCATGATATTTTGGTTAATAGAGAAAGAATGGGTGTCAGGGAGAAATTGGGCGAACAATTTTTCTGTAACTACTTGTTCAGACATCAGCAGCAAAATGCTGTTACCTCTATAGCCAACCTTGACAGGGGCTAATAATAAAAACATAAACCTGACAAAAAGAAAGAGGCCAGCTAGTTTAAAGAAAATTTCAAGGTTGGCTATAAAGGTAACAGCTTTTTTTTTTCTGTCTGTCTGTAAGTTCAAATTCCACCATTTTGTTGACTCACCATGTAGCCATGTTTAGCAAGCTAGTCTTGTGGAACTTTCTAAAGTTGTAATGACTTGTCTATACCAATGAGTGTGTTGTACTTGGCTAAGCTTAGTAAATATTTGTTAATAAATTAATCTTACAGATCTTTATGATTATTGTGACTACAATCCTCACTGAGTGCCTGAAACTTGTGGCCTTGTGCCAGAATAAATTTAGTAAATAAGGCTACTTCATTAGAGGAATGGTTAGCAAACGAGAGTGAGTTCAATCCTTACTGGGTGTCCTACAATTATGACCCTGTAGCAGACTAAACTAAATCTAGGACACCTTTATATGGTCTCCCATAACCAAATTGGTAATGACATGCTCCAGTTATAGGAGTGATGGAAGTTTTAGGACACATTATGGTGGAATAATGTAGCTTTGTAGATGGTTACTATTATAGTAATTTCAATCTTCACCAAATCCCCATCTGTTGTGGCCATGTCCCAAAATTAGCAAGGTCTAGTAAATTTCCACCACAGGCTTTTTGTTGCTGTCTGTTTGCATAGACTAAATACATAAGGTACATAAAGCAATGTTTATCTTGCAATCCATTGCTAGTAAAATGACTTGTTTGAAAAATGTGGTCTTATGCAGCAAATAATGATGGCTGTTTCATCTAATGACTTCAGCAATGTTAACTTTTGTACCCACAAAAAAATGTGTGTCAAAAGGATGGTTATTCCCTTGACACTGTTATTACACTTTTGACTCCCTTGGCAATGTTTATCGTTTTAAAGTGATGATTAGAATTTTAATAAAACCCAAACATGAAAGTGGATTTATCCATTTTCTTTATTCTTGAGAATGACAACAAAGATGTTAAACACTATTTATTAGATTGCTTATTAACAAGAATAATTTTATATTTACAAAATTATAAAAATATGTGAATCAAATATAATGAAATATTTATTATTTATCATTTTATAAAGAAATAAATATGAAAAGAATTTTTTTTATTCATAAATTTATAAAAATGTCTGAACAGGAAAATTTAAATAAACATAATGATGAGTAACTATAATTATGAATTTTGAAAAAATGTATTTTCCAGGCTTTTCTTTTCATTTGCTCTTGCCACATAAATTCAATAAAATAGGTTGAGACTGTCTCTTCCTCTTACATATTTTGATAATTTTGTAACTTTTTATAAATTTTTGAATAAAAAGATTTCTTTCCAAATTTATTTCTTTATAAAAGGTAAATAATAAATGACATTATATTTGATTCACATATTTTTATAGTCTTAAAAATAAACATTGCTGATGAAGTAAAAAATGTATACATTAATAGTGGTGTCAAAGGAATAACCATCTTTTGACACAGCATCTTTTTGCAGGCACAAATGTTAAAACAATATCTGTGTTCAATAGCAAAATATTTGACCAGATATTGTTTAACAACTTTCTTTATTTAACATTGAATGTATGTTAATTGAATTCAAATTGAATAAATTGAATAAACCTGTAAACTGAACTTTGCTAGGATAAAGTGCCAAATTTAAGCTATTAAAAACTTTCCAGGAAAGGAGTTAAATAATTTTGAACTACATTTTTTAAGCTTTTTGTTTTGTATCTGAAACTATGCAAATTAAATTTCAACAAATTCAAAGAATTTTAAATATGTAGAGCGACACCTCTTGGACCACATTTGAAAATTCTCAAACAGAATTTAAAACAGATATGATGTATTGTATCATTTAAATTGAAATTATCAAAGTTATTACTCTAAAACAGAATAAGTTACTTATTCTGTTTAATTTGTATCTAAGGTATTTTCAATTATATGGACTCATTGCTTTCATTGAAACAATTGTTTCTCTTGGCATTAATAGTTAGTGTTGAAAGATATGTGCCTGTAGACAGTGTTTCTATTAAGAAATATCTACTTTTTTTTTCCTTTTGCTGAATATATAAGATATAGATGATAATTATAAATTATTTAAAAGGCTTTATTCTCTCTTTTCAAATGCAAAAAAAAAAAAAATAACCAGAAGTTAATTGGAATCATTACTAAATATAAGTTTTTATTTTCTGACTAAATATTTAGTATATTTTCATACGGCAAAAAGTATACAATTATACTATTGACTAGTACCTACTAAATTTAATTTAGTTTCTTTTTTTCTTTCAATTTTTTTATACAAGTGTTTACTGTTGTCATGAATTTTTTCACATAATTACTTTGAAAAATTTGAAGCTGCTCTTTATAATGTCTGCCTGTTCCTGAAGACAGAGAACCAATCTGTTTCATTGGATGCTTTTTCTAAAGATCACTTGAGTTTCTCAGATGTCTCTTACAAAATCCAGATAACATAGAAATTTAGTCACTTTATAAAAAGGTTCCAATTTCAAAACACAAGTAAAATTCTTTCATGACTTCCATTCATTTAAAACTGAGTCATTATACATTTTATTTATTAGCTTACTACCCATAAAAAATGACTGGGTTGTTTACATATGGCTCAACATATCTGTTTAGGATTAAAGTATCTGTGCACTCTGTCTAGGATCAGAGCTTTAGTCTTCAGCCTTTGGATTAGGATTAATGTAATATCTGTTTCATTTTGCAGTTGTGTTCTTATCTTCTGGCAAAAAAAAGGCTTGGTCCTGGGGATTCTTATACTGCAACAGCAACTCCCTCATTGCACAAAAAAGAGGGTTGAGATATTTCGATGTCTGTCTGACACTGGTTTCAGAAATTGGGCAGTTGAGCTGACTGTATGTTATATGATATAAATATAAGTCCAGAGTGCTGCATTCTATGAAAAGGGCTATACATGGTGGAAGTTCACTTGTCACTAAACATGACTAATTCTTAAACACATTCCAAATCACCTCCAATTTTCATCTTTTCATTTGTGTTGTCTAAGATGACTCTTGAGTTCTGGCACTGATTTAAACTTGAGACCACATGATGTACATGTTAATGGGTTACTGTTCACTAGCTGAACTGGATGTTTTGAGTTAAAATGCCTTGTTAGGCTGCTAGAATTTATGCATCCCTTGCCATAGATGGTACACAAAAAGTCACCCAGAATGTCATATGGAAGAGCATTAGTTAGCTTTTGGTGTGATTTTATGACTGTCCATACCTGCTTTTGACAAGCAGATATGGCCACAGATGTTACAAGTCAGGTCTTCCTTAGATCCCTTTCTTGGGAGGGGTGTCACTTCTTCCATATGCCTAGCCACATGCTTAACTTCTGTATTTTCAATCCTTCTTTCCTCAAAGCCTTTCACAATCTCACCCTTCCGCCCGTCTCTATCCATTGCTTTCTTCTCCCACATTTGAGTATTAATGAAGGCTTTCTTAAGGGTGTCTTTTAATCAGTCTTTAAAACGTTTTTTGGGGCTTACAACCTGGTCACTTGCCATCTCTAAGTTCACCATACATGGCTTGTTTAGGCATCCGACTGTTCTCAAAACGAACAACATGTCTTCACTAATGGAAGCTGTGTTTCATGATAAGACTCAATGCTAGGGAGACTTGTCCCTCAAAGCTCCACAATGTCTGAAGTGTAATTTTGCCATGAGATTTTCATAATTGAGTGGAGGCACCTTTGATGGAAGCGTTCCAGACGTTTGATATGCCTTCTGTAAGTTCTCTAGATCTCACATCCATATAAGAGAACTGTTAAGACACAGGCATAATAAACCCTGATCGTTGTGGTGATAGAAATGTCCGATTGCGACCAGTCTGGCTCCAAGCATGCCATAGGCATTACAGGCTTTTATTATTCACACACTTATCTCCTTATCAAGGGTGTTATTTATAGAGAGTGTACTCTCCAGGTATAAAAAAGTATCAACTATTTCCAATTTCTTGCTGTTGGCATAAATTGAGGGAAGTTGGGGGGGAAGGTTTTTCCTGGTGCAAGTTAGACACATTACTACAGTCTTTTTCAAACTAATCGTCAGGCCAAGCTCGCCACAAGCTCGTCCATGAGAAGTGCTATACATATTGTTTCATATATGTGCATTTTTAAAAACTACTGAAAAGAGAAGCTCTTCCAATGCACAATGCAAAAATTATTACTGTACAAGTCTCTTCATATTCCGTTGTTAATTTTCAACCACTCTGAGTTTGTGTGTCAACCTTTTAGGCTCTTTCAGTTTTCTCTCAGTTTCTGTAAATAATTGTTTGATCTCAAGCGTGTCTGTTGATAGAAGGGACGTAACTCTTGTAATTTTCGACTCAGAATTTGACTCACAGAATTTGTAAATCCTTGTAAGTTATGAGAACTAATGGCTGTTTTGTAACTTCAGTTTAAAGGAGTAACTAATTAGTCAGCGAGTGATTGATTTTGCTTGTTCCTGCAAATCCTAAAACCAACCAAGATTTCTCTGGATTGAAAAGAGAATGAGCAAAGATAATAAAGAAATAATTAATTAGGAAATTCTTTACCTCTAGACCTAAGATTGTTTATATAACTTCCAGGAATAATTATCAATTTGTTGACCATACAGATCAAGGAAATTTTTCTGCTACTACCATTTCATAATTTTACAACTAACATAATTCTTGATACATTTTTACTGTTCTCAAATCTATTTTCAACATTATTACAGTAATATGATTTTGTCACAAAAAGATTTTATCAGCTTTTTAAACAATTTTTTTTTTTTTAATACTTTCACCAATACATTGTGGCCTGGCTGTGCTGGCCCATTTCATGAAAAATAGAAAATTGCCATTTACTGGAAATAAATGACTATTAAGACGCTGACAGCAAATTCCAATGGGTGCTACTGTTTTGGTTTTGATTGGATACTCTGCAGTACAGACTAAGCTAAACAATAACCCCAACACACAATATAATAAAAATGCATCACAAAAATGGTCATGTTGTATGCTACTATATGTCTACACTGGTTTGGAAATAAGACTTAAAATACAAGCTAGTTCATAATAAAAACATTAGGAACTGGCAGTTCATATTTGCATGAAATTTTTTAAAAGACCAAATTATACACTTTATGATTTCATATTAACAAAAAAATCATCTGGAATTTTGATATATTCAAGTTGGGTTTAAAAATATATTGCATCATTGCAAAAGTTTGTGGCCGATTTTTAGTTTTTCTAATTTTCTAATTGAGTACAAACTTTTGCAGCAATCTAATATTTTCATTTTTTTATTGTTTTAATTCACAACAACTTGAGCAGAAAAATAAACCAGTGAAACTTGTAAGGAAAGAAAAAAAACAACAACCCAAAAAACAGCAACAATGAAAGTAATAATTTCCTTCCTTTTACATACAAAAAAAAGGATTGAAAATAAGATTGATGATAGAATATAATAATTTAATAATCATTATTGATTATATTTAACCAGTACTGTAAAAATAAATCCCATCTTGTTTATTACATTTTGCTCTCATCATTCAAAAAATATATTTGCATTTTTGATTTGTAATAATTTAGTTATGAAAAATGATTTTTGAGTTGTTGCCTTCACTGTTTTACTTTTTTAATGTCAGAATTGAAATTAGTTTTAAACATCAGTGTGTAATAAGTAAACACAACATTTACTTTGGAAGTTTAATAATACTTCAGTTGATTGTCATCAACAGGTTTTGAATTATAGTTTATGAATGCAACTTCAGAATATGAAATGAGGTGAGAAATAAAAAAAATCCCTAGATTTCATGTACATAAATTTTATATAAATATGCTTTAGGTCATATTTAATGTGGGTCATATTTGACATTCATGTTCTTAATTCTTTCATAGCCTGATAAAAATGGTTGTTTTTCAACGTCATTTTAATATATAACACACAAAATATTTCACTATTGGGTATATGTGTGTGTCATAGATATATATATATATATATATATATATGTGTGTGTGTGTATTTAGGCAGCAATCCTTCTTTCATGCACATTTCATTGAATACGACAAACAAGCTGCTTTTATTTAGTTTTTTATACAATTTCTCATGTGATCTAATAATTTTTTTCTTTTCAGATGATAAATTATATAAAAACTGTCTGAATGTTCTTTTTATCCAAGCACTTTTGGCTATACATTTAGCCATTTTCAATGATTAAATATTTTAACTGTTAAAGAACAAATAGTTTGTATGTATGTTTTATAAAATGTTTTCATTTTTCAAAACACGGTCAAGATATTGTGTCCATGTTCAAAGTTAATATTAAGTGTTTTTTTTTTTTTTTTTTATTAATAAGGCTTCCATTATTTTTAGCCTTATTTTGCATGTAGATGATACTATTATATTAATGTCAACAAATATGTTCCGAATAGTGTCCAGTAGGTCTCCATGAATATTTAAATGAGATCTAATTGAGCTATGGTCAGAAAGATGTAGAATGAGTCTGTGTGTCAGACATGTTGTAGTGTGGCTTATATAATTATAGTTTTTATATAATTTATCATCTGAAAAAAAAAATTTATTAGATCACATAAGAAATTTTATAAAAAAAGCTAAATAAAAGCACCTTGTCTATTGTATTCAATGAAATATATATATATATATATATATATATATATATAATAAAAAGGCTCAAACACTAATGGTTATAATTTATTACATTCGAATCGTAATCACGATGCCATTCATCAGACCTACAAATTCAAAAAGAAATCGGAAAATATAACTCCGGGTATAAAAAACAAAATTTTAGAGTGTATGTGTGGGAGTGGTAAACAAGTGTGAGAGGGAAATGTATGAAACCTCTAGAGAGAGGTGAAATAGAAGAAAGAAGAACAGGAAGGCCTAAAGGTGAAGGTGGGGATTAAAATTTGACAGAGAGAAGTTTTAAAGAGAGGAATTAAATAAAGGTTTAAATATATATATATAAAATGTGGCCTGACAATTGCGTTCAAGCATGAAACACTGTTGCTGCTCACTATTGACCTCAATGTTCACTTTATATTTACATATGCTCTTATATTGAGCACTTTAACCCATAAATATAACATACCTTAAAACTATACTTATATATTATAAATCTCACAAGGCTTAGGTCAAACTGTAGTATGGTTTTTAGGCACACATTCCAATGGTCACATACACTGGGATCATCTCTTTAAGTCAATAACATCAATTTATCAGCTTCCTGACAAATCGACCCTGGTGAAATTAAGACCTGAGTCTTATGGTCAGAAAGTTAACATTCAAACTACTCAGCCACATGACATTGAGTAGACTGAATTGTTTAGAGGACATTAATGTTAGCACAAAGTCACAAGTCATTATGACTGAGTGTTTGAACATACTGATTTTGCTCAAACTCATGATTATGCCAAATTATGTGCAGAAACTAAGTAAGTTCTGCTCAGAATAATTTTATTGTAAACCACAGGTGGGATTTATGGGTGTTGAACTAACACAAATAATCTTGAGCATGTGTCTTCAACAGATATTAGCTAACCACCTAACAGACGGGTGTGTTCAGAAATGAGTAACCAGTCATATATATATATATATATATATATATATATATATATATATATATATATATATATTTTTTTTTTTTTTTTCTTTAGTTCTTAAAATTATAAAATTTTTTTGTTTAAAACATACTACTAATCATTTGTTCATTTAAAATAAATAAAATTATATTCTATTACTTGAAATTATATTTTGCTAAAAACACAAAACCTTGATGACATAGTTGTTGTGAGTTCAATCCCTGGCTTGGGCAGTGTGTACTTGTATTTAGTGGAAACAGACGAGCAATAACTGAACAGTACTAAATAAAATAAGTAGATAATATCCTTAGACATGAGCAGTGAAATGAGAACAATCTACACTTGTAGATTAAGCAAAAGTTCCAGGTCAGAATTACCTGTAAGCTACCCAGACCGATATATACCTGAGGAAAGCTGGAAAACACAACGGTTAAAACCTTGTGGTAACAAAAACAAAGATAAAGACAATAGCCCAAATATAAATAGTGTAAGTAAACACAAAACCGTTTTTGTCTGATTTTTGGAGATGTTGAGTTATTATTTACACTCAAACTAATGTCTTCCTTTTTGTTGTTACAATTGCATTTCAACTGTTGTGCCCTCCGGCCTTCTCCAGGGAATTTGGAATTGAATCCTTTATTCAATCTAAAGCAGAGGGTTTTTAAACTGTTTCCTGACCATTCAGTGGATGGTGAGATAAATAAATTGGGTCATGACAAGAAAGAAAGAAAAAGAAATATGCAAGTGAAAGCAAAGTGCAGAATAAAAACAACTCTAAATATTGCACAGCACTCATAAATCATTGCTAGTTTTTCACTGAGTTAAGCTCATATTACATTTTATTTTTTATACAC